GAGAGAGAGAGAGAGACGCGCTTGTATTTTATATATATTTTCCTCGGTGGCGCGGCGCATCGCAACCGGCGAGGACATTATGCATTTCTTGTATATTACCTGTCGTTCTTACGATTTTCATCCTTTTTCTCGGCGCGCACTTCTCTCTCCCTTCATCTCCATTTGTCTTATCTTCTGCATTCCCTCCTCGTCGGCGCCATTCTCAAGCTCGCTCCTGTCCCTTCCGCCCGATGCGAAATTGCAGAAGTCTGGCGAGAAACTACGGTGGCACATGCACGCTACTGGCGCCGGTGTTGGTGCCGCGGAATCAGCCTCTCGGACGTACTTAAGAGATGGAACATGCGCAAACGCAATTTTTTATTACAGCCGGAAAGTCCGCGAAGGGTGCACTCTGCGAAATCAGGTAGACACCCGCCACAGGAATTACTTTCGCGTGTCGCGCAGGCATAATTCCGTCGTCCTCCGTCTTTCCGTATCTACCGTGCTTTTTACATTTGTAAAGTGCAAACTGCCGCATCACCTTTATAAATGCCGTTACTTAAAGTACATCTCATTTTATGCGAAAGGTATTATTTTTAATGAAGAAATTTTTATATTTTTATTTTTTTTTTTTAATTACTTACCTACCATATTTCACCATTCACAGAACAGTAATATTGAAAAAAACGTAGTAAATAAATGTTTATGTGGAAACCGCAATCTACTCTCAACGTAATTCGCACGCGCGTCCCTCGTCACGTTTTTTCATTCTTTAACCCGGTGAGGCCGTCTCGCCGGGTGCAATTGCGTGGCGCGAGACTGCCACATCTCGTCGGCAATTTGTCACGATTTGTTTTATCACCGGTTTAGTCGAACGTATGGCGATGTGCCCGTGTAACCGACCGTACGATTACGCGCGCGTTGCATATATATATATCATCACGCAAGAATACATTTCTGCGGCATGATTCCGAATAGCAAATTACCGGCCATTGTTGCTAACCCTTTAATATCACATACACGGCTACACACCAATACACACATACACCAAAATGAATTACTTCCGCCTTTTATTCCGAACAAAATACCGCGAGCGATACGATACAATAACGATACAATATTTCCATTCAATATTGTAAAAATTTATCTTTGTCTAACTTTGACAATATCTTTTTCTCTTTTCAGACCGAAATAATTGACCAGCGAGCGTGCAGAGAAACCAGACGTCGAAGATTTTCTCTTATTCAAGAAGCGGAGGCTCTCTAGCTGGAGCGAGCCACGACGCAGCGCAAGTGGTATGTACCGGAAGTATCTTGGGGTTTTGCAGATTTCAGCCGCAAGTTTGCCGATGTTAAAATAGTGCCGTGCTTGCCGGCGCGCCCGCCGACCCATCGCGCGGCCTGAATGGTCGCGCTTGATAACAAAACTCGTTGCGACGAGGATATTAATGCCCGCGCGAAGACGCCCTTAATAAGTCCGCGACGTAATGAAAACCATTCATATAAAAGTTTTCCGCGGACGCTGACGCTTTAATTGAACGAGGAGGTCGCGCCGCGACGCGACCAGACTTGCCCCCGCCCGCCCGCCCGCCTGCACCGGCTTCCGCCGGCGCTCTTCTTACACCGCGCGCTGTAACAAGATGTCAGAGATTACCAGGGACTCTTCGCGCTTCGTTGGCTCCTCCGTAACTTTCCCGCATCCTGCCCCTAGTAACTTTCATTAAAAATTTTCTATCGGGCGAATCCCGCGACGGAGCCCGCCAATTTGATATCGAGCTTTTGCCACTTCATCGGGAATGGAGTAGAAAGTTATTCACTTGTTCCGCCCATGGTGGAGCGAAAGAAAAAGGAAAAGAAAAAATAGAAATTTGCCGGAGAATGAACAGGAAACTCTTTGGGATGATATAACGGAATTTCAAGCGCGCGGCCAGAAATTAGTTATTTCTGGATAGCAAAGAGAAAAGAAATGCTGAAATTAAAATGAATTTATTATGCGGGGGGGAAGATCCACGCTCTATAGTCGGAATTCACAATTGATGTCATCGGAACGTTGTGGAACGTTGTTTTTCTTTTTCTTTCTCGCACGTAGGTAATCCCCACGATGTCATTTAATTTTATCAAAGACGTCGCGGACGCGTCGAATATCGAAGACGGTCGTCGATACGAAGAGAGTTTTCCTTCCCAGCCAGGTTTAATTTACTTATTCCGATTGACGGACGTCACGCTCGCGCTGCATTTAATTTCGTCGCGGTCAGACGCGTAAAAAGTGGAAGAAAAAAGTCCGATACGTTGAACCCGCGGGAAAACTGTCATCGTTCGTTCTGTTTTCGCAGATATTCGCCATTCTCCGGCGTTCTCACGCGCTCTTTTTCGTCCGCCGTCGAACTGTGGCAACCAGTGGGCTTATTAATTTTTCATCGCTCGTTCCCGTTATATAGTGCCGATTTCAGCGCCGGCCGGAATAAACGAGCGACCAATTTTTGCGGCGCCGCGCGGCGGCCGCTTCGATTTAACGAGCGTGATTTAATCGCGCCCTCGAGCTCACTCACCCTGCCGAGCAGCGCCCCTATCACCCCGGGCTGGCCCCGTTTAGGAGCAATTAATTCAGCGGAAACGTACGGGTCGATCGTACTCTCGACACAGCATAGTAATTGCTACCGCGAGCCTTAAACGTACGCGATATATCTAATATTTACGAAACGTATTTATCGACCATGCGTTCTATTAGACTCGAGTGGATATACATCGCTTCTACATTTACAATATCTTTAATATTAGCGCAAATGCGTAACTAAAAACGCTTGAGTGGAAAGAGTAAGAAATTGAATTGTATCGTAACTTTTATTAATATTTTTCCGTTTTATATTATTTTAAGAGATATAAAAATATCTTTTATCTTTAAAATGCTTGAAAAAATATCAAAGCGACTTCAAATTAACTAGAAAAATACCAAAGAGAAGACAACAGTATTAAATTTTCCAATGTCTTTGCGCGTTGCATGTTTTAAACGTGGAATACGAGAGAGTTACGCTTTGTTTGCTTTCACAAGCTGTTTCATTTCGTAAAAGGCAAATTTGTCTCGTGAAAGTTTACATAAAGCTATGTATTATTCGCGCTTCGAGCATCAAATGTACGCACGTAAGTGCCTGTGTGTCTCTCGCTAATTCGGAGCACGCATATTCGCGTTACAATTTTCCATCGATACACGACGCCCTCCACCGGTCTGCAATTCAATATGTGAACTGTCTAGGGAGCATTCGTTACCTCTGTGAAGTTGGCCCCCCATTTTTCAAAATAAAAAAAATGATTAGAGTTCTGGATGCCCCCCGAGGAGTTCTAGAGTTCTCAGACCATTTTAGAAAGAGTTCTGCCATTTAAAGTAAAGAAAACACCATTTGAAAAAATGGGGGGGCTAACTTCACGGCGCCCCCCATTATGTAAAAAATCCAAATTTTTTATAGTTCTGAGTAGATTTTAAATAGTTCTATAGTTCTAGATAAGATTCAAAAATAGTTCTGCTCGAAATACTACGTAAATTAAATTTGAAATTCTCGACTTAGAAAACGAAAAATAGCGAGAACTCGTTCAATTTTGATTTTAGCGTTTCGAGCCTTAAGGATAATCGTTAGAACTCGTGAGGGGCTATACAGAACTCTCAACAGAACTGCCGGTTACCGAAAAAAAAATTTTTTTCCTGTAGGACTTAAAAATTTTTCGAATCCGAAACTTCAACCATTGAGAACTTTTTTATTTCGCCTCTGAGCGCTTCGAGTGTTAATAATTATTGTTACAACTCTTCGGGGGGCGTACAGAACTCTCAACAGAACTGCCGAATACCAAGAAAAAATTTTTATTAGAAATTTTTCGAATCCGAAACTTCAACCATTGAGAACTTTTTTATTTCGCCTCTGAGCGCTTCGAGTGTTCATAATTATCGTTAGAACTCTTCGGGGGGCGTCCAGAACTCTCATCAGAACTGCCGGTTACCAAGAAAAAATTTTTTTTCTGTAAGACAGAAATTTTTCGAATCCGAAACTTCAACCATTGAGAACTTTTTTATTTCACCTCTGAGCGTTACGAGTGTTAACAATTATCGTTAGAACTCTTCGGGGGGCGTCCAGAACTCTTATCAGAACTGCCGGTTACCAAGAAAAAATTTTTCAGCAATCAATGACGACATAATTGCACGAAAAGATGCAACGTGCAATAATTGCAAAAAGCGCATTAGCCGTACCATTTTATACGGATCTCATTTGATTATTGATACAAGCATTTACAGTGATACCAACTACAGACAGGCCCAAAATATTGATGCTAAACATGAGTATCCTTTGCACAATATAACAAAAACTTGTTGCTATTGATGACAATCGCTACAGTTTAGCAGGAGTCATTTCATATACTCAATACGGCAGTTCTAATAATGGACATTACATCGCATTTACATATACCGGAAATAATTGGTACAAATATGATGATAT